GGACGGTGCCACGGTCCCGGTGACAGAGAACATCCAGGGGGGAGGGATGCCCTCCCCGCTTCCCAAAATCAGCCATATTAAAACAGGAGGGTTGAGTAAGGCTTTCGGATCTGAGGCAGAACACGAGCCATCGTGAGGTTGTCTCGGGGGTGTGCGTGCGTGTGTCTTATCCCCCCCCTCCCAAATTCACCCTCAGCTCCACCGCTACAGGAATGGGAGGGGGGCACAGGAGGTGCTGGCTGCACCCCCCCATGTTTCCCCTTGCAAATGGGGAGCGTACCCCGAGGGGCTGCCCCACAGAGGGTAGCACCAAACAGTACCTTGGGAAAGCCCCGAGCCCCTCTGCATCCCCCCGCAGAGCAAGACCCTCGGTGGGCACCCACCCCGTCCCACTCCCCCCACAGCACCCAGAGCTCCAGGAGCCACGGGCAGCAAAGTAGGGTGGCTCTGGGCTTGTCACTGAGCAACAACATTTCATTTCCAAGTTACTACCTTTCCCTTTTCCTGGAGAGCCCCAAACTCTCCCATTTATCACCCCGAGCAGGGCACTGCTGCTCCGTTTGCGGCGAGGCTTCGGATGCAGCCCTGGCACCCCCGTGCCAGGGACCCAGGGCATCAGCACCGCTCGCCCACCCAACGCTGGCACCTCCCAGACCTCCCAGTACGATGCCAACAGCCCGGTGCCCCATGGCAGGACCACCCCCAAATCCCAGAGGAACAATGTCAGGATGCACATTCACCCTCAGCTCCACCGCTACAGGAATGGGAGGGGGGCACAGGAGGTGCTGGCTGCACCCCCCCCAAGTTTCCCCTTGCAAATGGGGCCTCTTGAGCGTACCCCGAGGGGCTGCCCCGCAGAGGTTAGCACCAAACAGTACCTTGGGAAAGCCCCGAGCCCCTCTGCATCCCCCATGTTTCCCCTTGCAAATGGGGAGCGTACCCCGAGGGGCTGCCCCACAGAGGGTAGCACCAAACAGTACCTTGGGAAAGCCCCGAGCCCCTCTGCATCCCCCCGCAGAGCAAGACCCTCGGTGGGCACCCACCCCGTCCCACTCCCCCCACAGCACCCAGAGCTCCAGGAGCCACGGGCAGCAAAGTAGGGTGGCTCTGGGCTTGTCACTGAGCAACAACATTTCATTTCCAAGTTACTACCTTTCCCTTTTCCTGGAGAGCCCCAAACTCTCCCATTTATCACCCCGAGCAGGGCACTGCTGCTCCGTTTGCGGCGAGGCTTCGGATGCAGCCCTGGCACCCCCGTGCCAGGGACCCAGGGCATCAGCACCGCTCGCCCACCCAACGCTGGCACCTCCCAGACCTCCCAGTACGATGCCAACAGCCCGGTGCCCCATGGCAGGACCACCCCCAAATCCCAGAGGAACAATGTCAGGATGCACCAGCTCAAAATGCCACTTATCCTGAGAGGCTGGAGGGCAGCTCCTGGGGCTCAGATACTGGGTAGAGGAGAGTTGTTCCCTGTCACACACTCAAATTTGTGTGTGCACTCGTATTTGCACTTCGGAAGGCAATTCTGGGGCTGGAGAGCAAAACCAGTGCCCAGCAGAAGAGGATGGCCGGGATTTCCAGCCGACAGCTCTGCCCACCAGCCAGGGGGCTGGGAAAACTTTGGGAAGAACAGACTCGGACGGACGGCGCTCGGGACACAACGGCAACGCCAAGACAGACGGACCTTTACTTGACAGCAGCAGCAGTAACAGCCTGTGGGAGGAAGGGAGGGGGCAACGCTCACAGCCCCCCCAAAGTGCACACAGCTGGGGAAGAACAGATGCTTTCACAACTTGGGGAGAGAAATCAGGAGTCCATACCTTAGCCCTTACTCAGGTGGGTTTGCCCCCCCCTGAACTCAGCTGCAAGAAAAACCAGCCTGGCTTGGAGGAAGGGGGGTCCTGCCCACAGCAAACCCAAGCTGGGAGCAAGGGCAGGACAGACCCACGGACGCACGGTCCCATCTGCTCCTCTGCGTGTACCTGGTGCCTTGGTGGCCTCCAAAACCCTTGTGTGGCAAAGCACGTCTCCAGTCCTCAAGGCGCTGAGACCTCCTGCCCACCAGTGGGACCAGTCTGCCCCAGCAAGGCTGGTGGGACTGAAGGTGGTTGTGAAAAAAACAGGCTCGGGAAGCCAAAGTGGCTCTTTCCTCCCCTGTCTGACCTGGAGGTTCCACTTCTAGCCTACGTCTGATGGTCAAAACGCGCTCCTGGTTTCACAGCTGGCATCCTTCAGAGACGAGCAAGAGCTGTTGCCTCCTCCTGGCTCGGGTGTCCCCGCTCTGTCCCCTCGCCCCGGCCACACGGCTGCCAAGGAGACCACCGAAATCCTGACCCAGGGAGCCCACCCGAGCAGCGTGATGAGGGATCCCGCTTCATCTCCTCGAGGCCAGGTCACTCCCTCCCCTTCAAAACCCCCAAATCCTCACCTCGGCACACCCAGGCACCAGGCCCGGGTGCAAACCTTCAGCCTCACCCTCCCACCACCATCACCACGGTGGCTTTTAAAACACCTTTACTGAAAAGGGTTTTGGACCCCATGCTCCGGGTGGGCGCCGCACAGAGTCTCTCAGCTCTGTCCATGCAGGAGAGCGCGGCCTTCCCGGGACTCTTCTGGGACTGCTACACCATCGGTATCCCACAGACCATCAATCTTCTATACAGGGAGAGGAGCCAGGCCGGGGGCGGCCCTGACGCGCGCGCACAGACTGTACAGAGGAACGGGTTGCTAAAGAGTCTGCGAGAGCCGTCCTGGAGGCGTCCGGCCACGTCCCCTCCTTCTCGGGGAGCCACGGGCACCGGGACAAGCGTGCACGGCCTGCAGCGGCTGGCTCTGGGCGCTCGACGACTTTCCATGGGCCATCCCCACAGTCATTGCACTCCTTCCTCTTCCACGTACGTCGAGGGAAACCAGCCGACCTGCCGGGGAAGCGGAGAGGTGAGATGGGCACCGGGGAGCTGAAGGGACCCTCCCGTCGTGTCACCGGGACTATCTCCCTGCCACCGGGCGCTGTTCCTGGTGAGCCATCTGTGTGGATGCCCCACATCCTCATGCACGCTGGTGATGGGCACGTGGAGCAGTCGTTATCCCAATTTGGGATGGAGCTATCAACTATACATCGCTGTAGACACACGGGTTGTGTGTGATGTATGAGGGGTCAGGGCATGAATGGGTTGCCCAGAGAAGGTGTGGATGCCCCATCCCTGGAGGGATTAAAGGCCAGGCTGGATGGGGCTTTGAGCAACCTGGTCTGGTGGGAGGTGTCCCTGCCCAGGGCAGGGGGTTGGAACTCCATGATCTTTAAGGTCCCTTCCAACTCTAACCGTTCTATGAAGAATCTGGCTCCAGCGCTACAAACTCTTGAGGGACATCAGGGGAGCCATCCACCTGCTGCTTCTCCTCGGGATGCTGAGCTTTTCACCCGCACAAACCCCTCACGTGCAGGTTTAAGAAAGAGCAGATTTGGACATCACTCGCTCACTGCACCTCTGTTGTGTGTCACCATCACACAGCACTGACCAGCAACACAGTGGTGGCTTTTTGAGATGACAGCCCATCCACAAGCAGGAGAAGAGCAAGAGGGAGTGGGATGTGTCCCCCTGCCCTCTGCCGTCCTCACAGGGGGCTGTGCTCCGGCTGGGCAGGCTGAGAACAGGGGGAGGACCCTGCGCTGCAGAAACGGGACAGGACATGATCTGGAGGCACTCACTCTTCCGTTGGTCTCCCCCTTCCACCATCCCTGGTCCCCGCCAATCCTGCTGTAGATCTTCACCACGTCGCCCTCCCGCAGCGAGAGCTCCCGCATGTCCCGCGCCGCGAAGTTGTATCGTGCCACCGCCGTCCCTATGACCCGTGGGGTGAACACTGCCAGGGGACAAAGCAGAGGGAGTCGGGAGCTGCCCCATCCCATGGGACCGGCCAAAGCCTGGGGAAAGCTTGGTGAGGTTCAACCTGGGTTTTCCACCATGGTGCTGGTTCCCATTGCAACACCACGACCTGGAGGTGCTCGGATGGCGGGGCTGGCCTCATCCAAACTGCTCAGCCCCACACAAACTGGGGTGATCGGGGTTAAACTGGTTTCCTGCTGGGCTTCAAACAGCTCCATGGGCTTGGGAAGGCCCTCTCTGCTGACCAGGAGAGTCCAGGAGGGGCTTGGTGGGGATCGCTGGGGTGAGGGGCACTTTTGTGGGAAGGTGGTAAAATTAAAGAGTTCACAGGAATACACAATATTAAAAATGAAGTCATGGAAACATCCTGTTCCACTTTCAATATCAGGTCTGGCTGCCACACAGCTCCCAGCACCTGACGGGACCACTTTGTCCAAAGATTTCACAAATCAACTTGCATTTAAACTACTTCAAAAAATTGAGTTAATGGGATTGGCTTCTCCTAGAGATGCTGGGCAAAACCCGTGTGTTTTGCCAGGGACCAAAAAGGTGCAAAACCATCCTGCAAACCCTAACACTGACCAACAGCTTGTGATAAGCCCTTTGAGCCATCCTGGGACCTGGCCTCCACCAGCACCAGCACGGCCCCAGTAGCTTGGATCTCCATCACTTCAGGCAGGGGATGCTCAGGGGAGGCAGGAGAAGGAGCAGCAGCGAGGGGCAGGGAAAGGCAGGGGCAAGTGCTCAGCTTCCCTGCCCCAGTGTTTGGGCAGAGGGAAGGAGGGCTGGAGAGCAACACTGGGAGGGATGGGATGGGCAGAGGAGGAGAAAAAAAGCACCTTCTCTGAAGTTTGGGGAAAAAAAAAAAAAGAAAGAAAAAAATCATCTGGGCAGAGGGAAGGAGGGCAGGAGAGCAACACTGGGAGGGATGGGATGGACAGAGGAGGAGAAAAAAGCACCTTCTCTGAAGTTTGGGAAAAAAAAAAAGAAAGAAAAAAAAAATTAAAAACCCCACCCTGAAGGGACATCATGTTTTGGAGAAGCTGCCCCTTTTTGTCCCAGGACTTTGGAAGATGAATTTCAATTTTAAAAGTTTGCAAACCGAGGTTGAACTAAGTTGGAGGAAAAGCTTTGCCCAGGTTTTCAGCTCTCGGGATGGGAGGAGATGAGGATGGCGATGGAGACGGTCCAGACATAAACGTGCAATCACTGGAGGGCTCGTCCATCCTCGCCAGGCAGCCAGGCTGGAGAGCGGAGCGACAACCACGGCAGCCTTGAGCTCTGTCATCAGGAGCTTGCTCAGAGCCCTCTGCTGCACAGAATACTTTCTGCAATACTTTGCGTGCAGTTCAAGGATCCTAAATTCCCAGAATTATGCTCTAATACCCTGAAAATGTTAAATGTTCTTCCTGAACACGGCAGGACGGAAAGCACGCGTGGCTTTGCCGATGGTTTTCCCTGTCCAGCCTAAAAAAAGTGCCAAAAGTTAAAAGCTTGAACGGGAAGCCATGAACTGACATGGTTTTGCTCTGATCCCTGCCAAACAGACACCGGTCTGTAACACATTTAAATCAATGGGGTTCAAAGGCCAGAGCCACAAAGCACATATGAGAGGGCAGGTTTTCCCCTCCCTGGTCTCCCCAGCGAGGGGCTCCTGAGCAGCCGCAGACACCAGAGCTCAAAAACTACCAGACATTGAGATGTTCTCCTTGTCCAGCAAGGAGAAAGGGGCTGGAAGACAGTGTGATGCCAATGCTCGTTCGGTGAAACACACGGGATAAGCAGGTCGAGCTTGAAGTACATCATGAGATCCCAATGCACTAGATTCATTTTTGCATTAATTTTAGCCCCCTTTCTCAAATAGCGACAATTCCATCTCCTCCCTGCCTTGATTTTGGGGAGGGCGGGGGGGAGCGCGTTTTGCTTCCAGCCAAGCCATGGTTAATTGACTTAATTCCAGGCTGTGCCCCAGGGCAGCACTGGGGGACCCCCTGAAGTGTCTGTGGGTGGGACAGCGGGGACCCCGCGGGTCCCGCTCCGATGGCTTTCAAGCTGGGGATGCTGCAGCCTGGGGAAGGCAGCAGGTCTCTCCGGCACTGGTACCTGACCAGAAGGGACTGGAGGAGCTCTGAGAAGAAAAGTTGAGGCCCTGAGGACTGAGAAAAGAAAAGTTGTAGGAAGCGCAGGAGGCTGCAAAGAGGTTAGAGAGAAACAGAAAGAGGCAGAACACGCATTAAAAAGGAAATGGAAAAAAAAAATATTATAATGCACAACGCTTTAAAAGCCGACAGAGGAACACAGGGCAAAGCATGCAGGTCTCGTGTGGGGGCTCAGAGCTGGGGCAGCTGGTGGCAGGTCTGGCTGCAGCCCGTGTGGGGACCCAAAAGTCATCCTAGGTTTGTATTTCATGCCAAAGGATATTTAATCAACTCTTAAAAACTCTCTTCCTTTGGTATTCCTTTTAAAATATACTATGGAAAAAGTTTTTTTAAAAATGCATTTTCCCCACAAAGTAGCTATTTCTGCACTCAGGCTTTTAGACAGAACAGAACACTTTGCACTAATGCACATTTTGCTTTCTGTTTGTTTTGATTTTTTTTTTTTTAAATTTTATTTTCATTTTAGGCACAGACTTACCATTTCTCCCATCGTCTCCATTAAAGGAGTCCCACTGGGATTCAAACCATCACAAATCACACTGGGACTGGATCCATTAAAACACACCCCAAAACCTCCCGTGGGCAGGTGAGACC